GAACACTGTGACTCCTGTTGTCTTGGTAGGGTTGTCAAAATCCTTCGTCCGTTGTGTCATAATGTCTAGCAAAAATTTTGCAGATACTTTTTGTTGCAAGTGTAGATGAAATTCTGAGACATAACATATGGGAAATAATTCTCACCACGAGGCAAACAGAGCATGAAACTACAGTATATCTGTTATTACGCATTAAAAAACTCTTAATGTTGGGCTCTCCAAAGATGCTTAATGATGTGTATCTAACATAAGAGTCCTATACAAATAGATACAGTACAGTACTGTGATCCTTGTGTCTAAGAGAAAAACATCACACTATTGTGTGTACAGTACAAGTTGTTGTGATCAGTGTCATGTTATTATCAGATTTTATTAGCTATCATGTGTTTGAACCAGTGATATTTTTTTACAATAGTACATTAAAGTCGGAATGGTGCACATTTCTAATGTTTGTGACAATTCATGTCTCAATGATTATTAATCGTACAACAAAGTTTACACCAAAAAAATTATCCTTGCAAAACCTACTTGTGGGCTTCATCATATTCATCTTGTTTCTTCTGCCGCTGCTCCTGAAGACGGTCATACAAGGAGCGAGGGTCTTGAGGGGGTTCTTCTGGGGCCTCTTCGGGATCTTCATCTCCCCGGTTCTTGTCCCAGTCCTCTTGCCGGACACGGCGACGCTCTGCTACTTCCTTCTCACTAATGAAGCCACTACTCATCTTCCCACCTAACAATTTAACATTCTTAAATACTGTAATTGGAACCTTTTAAGTATTTACTGTACATGAAAATCAAAGAAATGAAGTATGAAATCCCATATCATGTCCAACAGTGAAGGCATTAGCTACACAAAACAACTACAGTACTGAAGGGCAACTGGCTATAAAATGTTCTATTATCCTTTAGTTACGGTAGATTAGTTTGGTTCATGTGGGTTCGAGGTCTTACCGACTCAGACATCCACAGTATTCTTATATCTATTGAAGTGAGAAAGAAAAAAAAAGAAAGGACCTACTTTCAGAGTGACCTGATTCACTATCATAAGTGAGTTTAGTGAAGATGAAACTAGTGAAATAATGAAACCAGCAATGAATTAATTTTTACATTTGAGTTCCCAAATTACTGGCATTTTGAAAGCATCTTAGTCCCAACATTATGTATTTCTGATACTAAAGCATATTGCATATACTGTACCACAACCAAATGGATAAATAATTATTTAAAGAATATTATTGGCCAAAGGGAGGCTATAGGTTGGAGAATAAATCGTGAAGTTTACCTCCCAGATCATTTTAAGGTATTGGCCAGTAGGGTTAAGACCGAGGAAAGAAAAGCAGAGGAATCATGAACTGAAGGTAGCAAGGGAGGTGAAGTTAATCCTCAAGGGATTCTTTCAAATTAAAACATGAGACAAGATTGGGCCAATACCGGCGAGCTAACTGATAATGATGGAGAAATGAGCAATAATCTGAACAGGAATTTTTCAACAGTTTTCACCACTAAAAATTTAAACATGATACCCAGATACCAACTCTATACAGAGATAATGAAGAAAATAGATTAAGCAAAATAGTAGTGACTAGTAACGATGTTAGTGAGCAAATAGACAAGCTAAAGCCTAATAAGTTACTAGGTCCCGATGAGATATTTGCCAGAGTATTAAAGGAATGTAAGGAAATGCTTAGTATGCCCTCAGCAAATTTGTTTAGCATGTCATTAAAAATGGGTGTAGTGCCAGAAACCTGGAGGATAGCGAATGTGAAACTGATTTTCAAGATGGGAGATAGATCACTATCCTCTAACTACTGTCCAATCAGTTAAACATCATTTGTAGGCCAATTGGTGGAAGCAATAATTTCAAACCCTATTCGAAATCACCTGGAGGCACAAGTTACGAATGTGAATCATGGGTCATTGATCAAGTTATACGAACATAAACTCATAAAATTCGTCCTTCATACCGATTAAACCCTCGGTATTCACTCATTCACACTCTTCGTATTTCAGTGAACCAAAAGGAGACATAAAACATATCTCAAACACATTCCTGGGTAATTATAGAGGACTAACCCGCGAGCTAAATTGATTGAAAACAATTATAAAAACGCCGGATTTTCATTGTTATATTATAGTGGAGACTGTTGTAGTTTGTGGAAATATGTTAAAAATGGATATTTTTAAAATAAATGCTACTTAACATTTGTGGCTATGAAGAACAGACCTAACCAACCAAACAAAACAAACCTACCTAACCTTACCTAACTTCCCAGGTATATTAAACAGAAAGATCTTACTATGATATGCTGAAATTTGAGGCATTTTCTGGACGTGAGATGATATGGCCGCATCGGCGCTATGCAGCCCTGGCGGGTTAGTCCTATATATTAACCCATTCCTGAACCTCGAGTCAGCTACTTGTTTGAAGTGTGCAAGGTGGGCCGAGTTAGTAATGTGTGGGCCGAGTTGGTTATTTAAGATGGGCCGAGTTGGAGGTACACTTTGGCAAATGACTCCGTAAAAACTTTAAAAATAGTAATTTCCTGTCTCGTGTTGATCATAGGCCTCTTTTAACTTTCAGACTATTTGTCGTATACATACAATAATATCAGTACCTGTTATATAAAGTATAAACTGGGCGACATGAGGTGATGAAGCGGCTCACCAGCCGTAATGTTATACATTATAGGTGTGATTAACAGCGTTTCAGTCACTTATATGTTAAGACACGATATCTGCCAATGCACTGTGATGCTCCCGTCCAGTGTGATAATTATTCTAAAATTAGAACAAGTTAGTGGAGTTGTGTAAGATAAATACCAGCCTGTGATCACCTTCTGCTGACTGTTTACTTTGGTTGTTTCTGAGAGCGCCGATCACCTGCCGCCGCTGCAACACTTCTGCCGAAATGCTACAACACATATTATATGGCGTGGAATTATGCCAAATTGGTCAATTTTAATTGAATCATCGTATAAAATAATGTTAATAAAATAATTATGATATAAGAATCGTTATATGTACACGGAACGAACCTAAAATACACCATTGAATGAAGATCACTCCATGATTTCAAATCCCAGCTTATTTCACTTGATAAAGTAACCTAGATACTAGGTTAGGTTATATTTTTACCTTTATCCTCTTCGCCACTGATCGGCTCGTTAGCATTAGGGTGTCTTATCATCAGGTGAAATATGCCAAGGGGGTCTAATCATCAGGTGATCTGAATGATGAATATCTCAGAATCAAGTTAAATAAACTGACAATACAGTACTGCAATGATGTATTAGTAAATCTGTACATTTGAAAATACGAATAAAAATCCTTGGAGTGATAGACACAGTTTTATGGATATAAAATCATATTACAGAATTCTACAGGGATGATGCAATAAATTGTCGAAAAATCTTTTAAAGACAAAACTCTATAAATGTATCAAGATTTGGTGAGAAAATTCGCCAAAGGAAAATATTACACGTACATTATAAACATAAGAACATAAGAGCATAAGAAAGTGGGATACTGCAGGAGGCCGACTGGCCCATACAGGGCAGATCCCTTTCACACCCATCCCAGCACTTCCATGTGCCTATCCAACTTCGTCTTGAAGCTCCCTAGCGTCCCCGATCCTACTATAGCACTCGGTAGCCTATTCCACATATCCACAACTCTATTACCAAACCAGTGCTTGCCTATATCCTCTGAATCGGAATTTATCTAATTTAAAGCCATTTGTTCTAGTTATTTCGTTATTACTGAGCTTCAGAACATCTTCCATTTTACCCTTGTTAATCCCACTTACCCACTTGTACACCTCTATCATATCTCCCCTAACTCTACGCCTCTCTAATGAATGTAAGCCTAAGCTTTTCAGTCTTTCTTCATATGGAAGGTTTCTAATATTATGGATCATTTTTGTCATTCTTCTTTGTACTCTCTCCAAAGAATCTATGTCCATTTCTTATAAAAGAAAAAAAAGAAGTTTTATATCATAATTTAAGTCCACAGAGTGCATATTATAGATATTGAATATTCATAATCCTCAGATTAATATAATTGTCATTTGTTTTGTAATATTTCTTTTAATGTTTCCTTGTTTGAGTAGATGTATTTTCAAAAGGACGTGCAGTACGTTCTTCTTTGTTTTGCATCGGATGAGCTTGTAGTGGATTTCTCCCCTACAAACGCTGTTTGTCGCCGAGTAGCCGACCCACCAATTCCCCAGTGTATGCCTCGTGGTTTAAGTCAACCAGCGCCACCATACATCACGGAGCGGGGGTCAACTACTAAGCCACACCGACCCCTGCTATTTAAGACCTGACCTCGTGGTGACCTGTCTCCTTCTACCTACACCAACCAGCCTGCAACACCTCCTCTTCCTCCGCCGCTGCCTGGCGGCCCTCGCTCCTCCTCCGCCTGCCTGGCGGTCCTCTCTCCCGCCGGCGAGCATGGCAACCCACAAGCTGTCCTTCTCTGCGCGTCCTCACCAACCAGCTCTCTCTACATCCAGTGGCGTAGCTAGAGTGTGTGCCGCCCGGGGCGGCCCTTGAGTTTGCCGCCCCCCCCGTGCCCCCACAAAAAATACATATTGCACAGTGACTCACTCTATATATATATATATATATATATATATATATATATATATATATATATATATATATATATATATATATATATATATATATATATATATTAAATAGTTTGTGTACCATTATAATATTACTGTACTTTCACATACTCAAATATAGTATGCTTTAAATACACCCCAAACATACTTAAACTTTATAAGTAACAGTTAAACAAAAAGCAAAAACGACATATAGGATAGGGAAAAAAGTAAAAAAGTGTAAAAAATTAGGACCATCTTTATTTCTGAAATGAAAACTACAACTTTCTACTAAGTAACTTTTCTTGTTTTTTTGTTGGCAAATTCTTCAATGACATTGTCAAAAACTATTTCATCTGTCAATTGTCGCTCTGTAGACAGTATGGCAAGATTTCTCAACCGCAAGGTGCTCATAGTAGATCTTAAGTAATTCTTGATCAGTTTTAGTTTCGAAAAACTCCTCTCACAGGTAGCAACACTAACAGCAATTGTGAGGAAAATCCTCAGCATTATTACTATATTTGGAACCGAGTTCCCAAGGTTATACTTTTGAATAAACTGCAAAAGTTCAAGGGGGCCTTCTTTCCACGTCTGTATTCTGTCTTTAATAGTTATAGCAGCAACAGCAACAAAATGCTGAAGTCTTTTTCTCTCAACGAGGAACTCCTCTTTATCAATGTCGTCGTGATCGTGATCTATTTGACACTCATATTTATCATCCAAAAGATTCAATGGGGTAAGGAAGGCATATTTCTCAGCAAGTTCATGAAGCTGTTGAAATCTCAAAGTTATTTCTTGGATCACTCTGTCCAGCGAAGAAAACATTTCTCTCCTCAATTCAATGTCGTATGGCAATTCAGCATCTCGTGATCCTTCACCAAACATTTGTTTCTTCTTTTTGGGTCGACGCTGACGCTCCATGACTATCCCCAGATCATTGCAAATTTCTTTGGCATAGTTAACTCCATTACTCACTAGCTTGTCCCTGTTTTCAACTAGAAATGTTTCTAATGCCCTGAGTTTTATATCACATTGTTGTATGTTCAAGCCCTTGGTTTGGAGGTAAGTCTGTGTGTCGTTAATTTCTAGAAGGACGGGTCCCCACAGGCCAAGAAAGCACAAAAAGGAAAATGATTGCAACGCACCAAGTAGAACACCAGCATCTGCCCTGGTAGCTGTATTTTCTTCTTCACCAGTTAACTTATCTAGGGCACTTAAGATTTTTGAGAAATGTTTCTTTACAACACTTACAGCTTCTCCCCTCGCACTCCACCGAGTTTCTATTATGCGCTTGACACTTTGACCAGTGACTGAAGTTAGAACATCCCAGCGATGGGTTGATGAAGGAAAAATACAAACAAACGCTCCACACATCCAAAAAAGATAACAGAATTCACAGCAACAGAAGCTGCATGAGCACCCGCCAAATTCAGCGAGTGATTTGTACAAGCGACAAATTCTGCTTTTTTATTAATTTCCTTGATACGTTTCTGAACACCAGTATGAACACCAGCCATCACCGCAGCATTATCATATGCTTGCCCTCTACAATTTTGAATATCAATTCCGTCTTTCTCTAATTTTTCCAAAATCATCATTGAAATATTCTCGGCGGTTTTACCTTTTGTTTCAATGAAATCGACAAATGATTCCACAACCTTCACTTTATCTCCATCGATCATAACATAGCGTAAAACTTGGCTCGTTTGATCCTTATGTGAAATATCAGGAGTGCTGTCGAATATCATGGAAAAGTACTTTGCTTCTTTTACTTGCTTGATGACTTTGCTTCTTACGTTTTCTCCCAAAATTTCTATAAACTCGTTCTGAATAGTAGGAGACAGATAGGAAGTAGCAAACAGCTTGATCTAAAATCACGGTACAATGACACTAGTATCAATGTAATACAATGGAAATGTAAAAAGTAGCAACTTAATCTAAAATTACAGACTCAGAGTACAGTGAAAATGGATGTCTGACATAAGCCCCCCCGACGAAAGCCACCCAGACAAAAGCCCCCCAGACGAAAGCCACCCAGACAAAAGCCCCCTACTTTGATCGGGGTGGCTTTTGTCTGACAACCCTAACCTAACCTAACCTAACCCAACCTAACCTAACTTAACCTAACCCAACCCTAACCTAACCAATAATTAACCACAGAGAAGAACAGTATATTTTACCCTCAACTATTTAATTATGTCCGTAACTTTTGAAAGCCCTTACTGTTGTCAGACAAAAGCCACCCCGATCAAAGTAGGGGGCTTTTGTCTGGGTGGCTTTCGTCTGGGGGCTTTTGTCTGGGTGGCTTTTGTCGGGGGGGCTTTTGTCTGTACCCCAGTGAGGATAGTGTCTTAGTATAAAATCGCAATGCTGTGAAACAAAATCTTAATATTTAATCTCAGTACCCCAGCAAAAGTCACATCAATATTTTTTAACCAATACTTTAATATTTCTTACCTTATAGTATTATGTCTTCCAACGAAGTAAATAACTGGATCGAAAACACAAGAGAACTTAAAAGTCGTCTAGCCTCCCCTCGTCTCGTCACGATGGAGACTTGTGCAGAACTGAAGTGAATTGCTTGTAACTGGTGGATTGGTCGGCTGTACATGAACTTCTATGACCCGAGACTGCATGGTTTTGCAGCTACTGGAGACGTTAATTCTTCCCTTTGTATCGGCGGCAAGTTAATCCTCGTCGTGTCTGACCTAACACCTGACCCACACCACATGAGCTCACTGGCGTACTTGTTTGAAGTTGTTTCCTTAATCCTCAACAGGTTACAGGTTGTGTGTGTGGCGGGGGGGCGGGCGCATAGCAAGGGTGTAGCTCATGACGTGGCCGTGATGATGTGGGTCAGGTGTTAGGTCAGACACGACAAGGATTAACTTGCCGCCGATACAAAGGGATGGATTAACGTCTCCAGTAGCTGCAGATATGGGTGATGAGCAGACCCAAATGGGAAGTGCCGCCCGGGCAGACCGCCCCCGCCCCTAGCTACGCTAGTGTCTACATCACAGGATTCAAGTTGGATAAGTTTAGGTTTAGGAGAATAGGGAAGAAACTGGTTCACAAATAGGGTGGTGGACGAGTGGAACAAGCTTAGCAACTTTGTAGTAAGTGCGGGAACTCTGGAAAGTTTCAAAAGGAGGCTAGATAGATTCATGGATGATAGAGAGTGGTAGTAATTCTCGACAGGAGCTGCCATGCACAGGCCAACCGGCCTATTGCAGACTCCTTATTTTCTTATGTTTTCTTATGTTCTTATCACGCTTGTAACCATGCTGCCTTCCCAGCACCAAGCTGCATTGTACATCCAATACAACATGTATATAGAGAGCACATCGTGAGTTTCCTTTCTCCAACCCATCCTGAGTGAACACCAAACAATCTCATACCCCACAAATGGTGATCCCCGGAGATTCGCACTCACACAGGATGGAGCTGAAACTGATCACGCTCCCAGTCTTCAAGCAACATGGAAGACTGGCTTATCCACACAGAAGCAGCTCTCATCGGCTCTACAACTACTGTCTCTACACCGCAGGTTAGACACCCTAGAGCAGCACTGCTTCTCTAAGCACCACGTCCTACCGACCCCAGCACACCCGTCCTGCCTCAGACGCTGACCCCCGGCCCAGCAGTAACCCCTGCCGCCCCTGATGCGGTCTCTGTTCCTGAGTGCGGACCCACACACCCCTCTTTTCTCCCTCAGGTACTCCCTGCTAATGTCCTGCACCCTGCTGCTGTCGTGGACCCTGCTGCTGTCACGAGCCCTCATCTGCTTCTGCTGACGCAGCCCCTGCTCCTGACCCAGGCCCACACACCCCAGCAGGCGCATCTGACGACTCTGTACCTGCCATGAGGGAAGCACAACATTCATCGCCTCCACACACCCTTTTTCTCCCTCTCTTCTCCCACAGATAGTGTGTATCTAGACAGTTGTATTCAGCGACCGGCTCATCCACGCCATCGCCGTTGTCTCACATGAGGCATGCACCGCCCGTTCTGCCTCACATGTGCTAAGCAACTCTGCAGACAACAAGTCTCCTACACCGCCTGGAGGGAAGGGGGAGTATTGTAGTGGATTTCTCCCCTACAAACGCTGTTTGTCGCTGAGTAACCGACCCCACCAATTCCCCAGTGTATGCCTCGTGGTCTAGGTCAACCAGCGCCGCCATACATCACGGAGCGGGGGTCAACTACTAAGCCACGCCAACCCCCCTCTATTTAAGACCTGACCTCGTGGTGATCTCTCTCTTTCTACCGACACCAACCAGCCAGCAACACCTCATCCTCCTCCGCCGCTGCCCGGCGGCCCTCCTCCTCCGCCTGCCTGGCGGTCCTCGCTCCCGCCGGCGAGCATGGCGACCCACAAGCTGTACTTCTCTGAGCATCCTCACCAACCAGCTCTCTCTACATCATGCTTGTAACCATGCTGCCTTCCCAGCACCAAGCTGCATTGTATATCCAATACAACATGTATATAGAGAGCACATCGTGAGTTTCCTTTCTCCACCCCATCCTGAGTGTGAACACAAATATCTTGAACCCCACAAGTTCCTTGTCCACACCTCCAGAGGGTCTAGATGGCGTCAGGAGTCGATTTTTTGTTAGTTGAATTTATATTTTTTTCTTATTATTGTGTATTTTCTAGATAGGATATAATGGTAGAGGAGGCTATTGGTTAAACCCTAAAATGAAGCCTAAAGTTTTCTCACTCAATTTAGTTCTTAAACAACTGAGTGTAGCTTAAACACGGAAATTCATGATTTTAAAATTGATGGCGTCAAGGCAAATGACGTCAAACAAGACCTGATTGCATTGTGTGCGCTGCACAGTACACTTACACAGAAGGAAACTATATAGATATTATTTCCCGCCGCCTGTTCTATCAACCTTCATATGCACAATTAATATTTTTATCAAAGATTTCCATAGTTTCTGAATTATTGAAAATTTCAGCGATATGTTGTTTTGTGGACAACGGTCGGTGATTCGTTCAGCCTGTTGCCTCAAAGTTCCCTTTTATTTCTTTTATTTATAGTTGGTATAAATGAAAACAATAACATTTTTATTATGTTTATTTTTTTACGACAGACGTGCACAAATGGCTCAAGACTCAGAAGGTACTATCGACAACTTCAGCTGTAAGAAGATTTATTAATGTGGCGCCGTCTACCTGAGCCCCCTTAGTGAGCGTGACAGTGATTGAGCCCCGCAGTGAGTGACAACAGTGAGGCGAGGAATTCCGAGAGGTAAAGTGAGCCCAGCTTCATCCTTCACTGTCCTCTCTAGCCATTTGTCTGCCTCTTGTTAACCATCTGGTCTCTGTTTTGTTTTGTTTTTGTGCCCATATGGATATACAGTATACACGCGATCCGATACTCCCTAGAACATGTGAGCTGCCTTACCGAGGGCTGTGATCTTGTTGCATGGAATTGACACGCAAGAATCTCCTACAAAATAATAAACAGAAATTTTTTTTTACGAAGAAAAGTGAGGTTTAGGGGGATATAAAAATAAGGAGGGACAAGAGGCTTATGTGATGATGGGGTTTATATCGTCTTCGTTGGAGCGAGAGATCATGGAGATACTGTACTGTCCCTGTCTCCTTAACGTGAACTGGAACGACACAAGGGTTGAAGGGACCAATGAACAAGTAAGAGGGAGTGTTTGACCCCTCCCACAAGCGACGAAGAGTTGCCTCTGACCAATAAGGGTGAAGGTTGCAAGTTTACACCACGCCCATTCGTTGTGAAAGTGGTCAATAGTCAACCTGGAAAGGAATGATTCAATTTTATAGTCGAAGTAAACTTGAGAACAAAAATAAGAATGAGGTTTTTGCTCTTTATCACACTAGCCTCACACCTGTGCTATATCACACTAGCCTCACACCTGTGCTATATCACACTAACCTCACACTGCCTCGGCCTCATTATCCATATCACTCTTGGCACCCGTCAGTAGTTGGATGATAGCGGCCGTATCAATGAAGCCTTGGTCATCCATCTCGAACTGGTCAAACGCATCGTCAACTTCCTGGACCGAGTACTTGTCTCCCCAGGTCATCAGGGCGTGGCGGAACCTGTCAAAGAATAGAGAGTTGTGTAAGGCCATTGTGATAGTGGACGAAGCAACCGGAATGTAAATATGTTTTAGACCCTCCCTCCTTCCAACCTATCTCCCCCCTCCACCCTCTCTCCCTCCCCTCCTCCACACCTCCCTCCCCCTCCCCCCCTCCCCCTCTACCCTCCTCCCCCCCTCTATCCCCCGTCAACACCTCATCCCAGCCCTAAGAGAGAGAAAACAAGAAAATCACTATCTCCTCACATGTCACCATCGATCCATCCATCCTTGCTGAAGGCGTTGAAGGCGGCGGCCACAACGTCGTCATCATCTGACTCTCCTGTGTTTCTCTCGGCGAACATCTGGAGCAACATGGTAAAGTTGATTGGGTTGGGAGTCTCAGCCAACATGTCATCTAGTTCCTTGTCTGTCGCGATCCTTCCCACCTCGTCGAACACCTGTGACGGGGAGAGTGCAGGTGTGGGTGAGTTGAGTGCAGGTGTGGGTGAGTTGAGTGCAGGTGTGGGTGAGAGAGAGCGAAGGGTAGGAAGAGAATAATGGCGCAATGATTTAAGGAAGAAGAGGGTGAGACTGGAGTGAATCCTATCATGTAACATAATTATTACAAGTGAGATCCCATAGTATCCTCCTCTACAGTAGTTACCTGACGCAGATCACTTTTGCCGATGATGCCGTCCTTATCCTTGTCCATCATCTGGAAGCCTTCCTTGAACTCGGCCACCTGCCGCTGGGTGAACATATCGAAGACATTAGAGCCGGTCTTCTTAGCTTTCCTCGACGATGTCTTCCTGGAGGAGGGTTTGGAGGAGGCAGGAGTGACGGTGGGTGTTGGGGCCGGTGCGGGAGGTTCTGGCTCTGGCTCTGGGGCGGGGGCGGGCTCCTCCTCCTTCACCTTCTTCTTCTTCTTTACCTTCTTCTCGTCCGTCTGGGAAAGACACACACAGTCACCATCAACAAACACAGAAAGTTGACCTCTAGTGTTGCATAATTCCTTTCGTCTTTTGCAACTTAATGTTTTATCCCACTATTCCTTACTTTACGATTTTACCAACATATGATTATTTTTGTATCATTATTGTAACATCACATCTTTAAGTTATCGTATATAAATAGATTTATTTTGTTTATATAATTTTCGTACTGTGGGATAGTGTTATACATTCGCTTATCCTTATCGTGCTTTTACTTATTGAAAGAGCCTTGTGGTGGAACAGTACAACGCGTCGTGAAAGATGTTATTTAATATATGTAAATGTGTGTAATATACCATTGACATAATGAGGCATTGAGCGAACCAAATATGACGGGACCAAACCAAAGCAGTGAAAGGTGAGACGTAGGGTGGTGGTGGTGGTGGGTGATACACGATACCTTCCTCCCTCACCTCCCTACCCCCCCCTTCCCCCACCTCCCTCCCCTACCTACATGGTGCACGCATATTTAACCTGGGGGAGGTGTGTTTTATCTGATCCCACCCTATCGTAAGTCGCTTTGAGCCCCCGTGACACACATACACAGGGGGGAGCATGTCATCTGTTTCTCGTGTCTCCCTTATACCCCTTCTCACTTCCTCCTCATCTGCCCTTACCCCTCTTCTCCCCTCTCAGCCCCCCCTCCCCCAACCCCACAAGGCACCATAAGAGGGAGTGTCTTGCCTTCGAAATTTTCCGGTTGGGTTAAATTTAGCGGTCTGAGGAGGTCCATAACCACGCCCCCTATACCACCCATCCGCCCATTCCTACCCCTCCCGCCACCCACATCCATCCCTTATGCCAATCAACCCCTCCCCCTTCTCCCTTCCAAGCTACACAGCCGCCCACACTTTCTGCCACCCATCTACCCATAATCACGCCCCCTGCCACCCAGCCGCCCACGACCCCTGCCACATAGCCGCTCACACCTCCTGCCATCCATTTACCCATAATCACGCCCTCTGCCTTCCAGCCGCCCACACCTGCCACCCACCTATCCATAATCACGCCCCCTGCCACACATCCACCCACACCTCATGCCACGCATCTACCCATAATCACGCTCTCTGCCACCCAGCCAACCACTTCCATTCCTCTTGCCACCCCGCCCCCTACCACACCTTCTGCCACCCATACTTTCCTGGTACAGAAGATAAAAGTCAGGGAGGGGGCACAGAAGGTATGGGTCAGGAGGGAAACAGTATAGGTCAGGAGGGGGCCACAGAAGGCAGGAGGTCAGGAGGGGCCACAGAAGGTATAGATCAGAATAGATCAGGAGGGGGCCAGAAGGGTATGGGGGCCAGGTGGTATAGGAGGAGGTGGAGGGGGGCAAAAAGGGAGGGAGGAGACGTCACACTGGGTACGGCTGGCAGGGGTCGGGGTTAACCTGGTCCGGAACCCTAAATTAGCCGAGGAATATTTTGGACATGCTCATCACCTGGCGGCGGAGGAGGAGGTTACAGCTGCTTGCTCCTGGTCAGTGCAGGGGTGTCTAAGAGATTACCTGGAACCCGTATTTATTCATTACTAAAAGCTTAAGAATGTATTTTTCCATAAAAGTTGGATTTTGTTGTTGTTGTGAAAGAAAATATTTTTTTATACGATTTGAGTGTCATCTGGTTAAACTGATTGTTCAATTCCATTTGCTTGTGCAGTTAAGTCAACGATGTAACATTTCCGATACAATCCGTTGTTACCGCATATTCCTGGCAAATAAATAAAAACGAGATATTGAACGTATATACTTTACTTTTTTTTTTTTTTTACTTTTATCATCTTCGCCACTGATCGACTCGTTAGTTGCTTGGGCGGTCGGTCACGCCTCTGGAAAGAATACTCCGACAATAACGTATCTGAATTATCAAAATAACATTACCCCAAATTTGTCTTTATACTACGACACATATGTCATATATAATTTCCGTTCAACAAAAAATTGTAGGGACTGGGTAACAATAGGTTCGCTTATCCTCGAAAGTTGCGTTTTCTTTTATGGTAAGAGAAAACGCGGAGGAACTATATATTTATCGATACCTGTTGTATTTTTTAAGGTTTGGCGAATATTATGGGTTTGTTTTCACGTAATGATTGTTCTAATTAATAACGCTAAACATGCTGAGCAATTTAATGTAAGATAATTTTTATATAGTAAATTAATGGTCGTATTAAATGTTTTTCTTTGATTGCGTCACTTTTGCGTCGTTATTAATTGGTTTATTTTCACGTCTACTTCAAAACCTAACCTATCCTTCACTCCTCAAAGAGTTTTACGTTAAATGCTGTTATACATATGTGATTGTTATATCCAGGTGGCCGTTGCACGCTAGTATATAAACGACCACAGTACACAGTTGGTCTTAGTATATTAGTGACTGATAATACACATTCACTGTAGCTAAATCAGATACACACGGACCACCAGTCAAACCATACAGCATTAAAGACTTTCAAAATACGTCTTATGCTTGGACGAGTTTGTCGTGGTGGGACAGTGATCAAATACACAGAAGAAGTTGATGCAGTTTATCCATACACTAATAACACGCCATAATCCCCCTAGAAGATCAGGCAGTGGACGAGTTATGCAGGTATATCGTCGACCAGGGTTGGACTTCTCAGGAAATATACAGTGATACAAGAAATCATATCTTATTACGATAAATCTCAGAAGTATTTCGATATTGTTCTTGTCACCATCTATGTCCTATATCGGTTCAACAAATCCGTTCTCATACTTCCAGTTAGGGTGTAAATCATTGTAGGAAGTTATGATGATTTAGGATATTGGTTCCTACATCCTCCTCATCCCAAGTCGAGGATCTGGAGCCGTGGATCTGCTACACTTCGTTCATAGGAGAGTCGCCTGTTTTTGGTTACTGTGTTGAGCAAGAAGGAGGAAATTATAGTATATTTCTTAGTAAACTTTTTAAATACGGTTGTTCTGAATAGCAGGCGAATTCTTGAGTAGATTTTCACCAAGATGAACAAAATCCCGTGTCAAAATTTCCTCGTACAGCACTTTAGCTCACCAGAACTGAGTCACTAGTACAAAGAGTCATGGAACCTCTCAAGATCACCATAAAGAGAACAATTACCAGCACACGGATCACCAGAAGCATCAACACACAGTCTTTTTGTAGGTGAATCTATAAACACGAAGAACTATGTACTCGGGAACTCGTTGGTGTTGGGTGGTAGCTCCCGGCCGCCCGCCATACACTCTTACTCACCATGGCTCCTGTCTCCTGTACTCGATGGGCTACAGAGGCGCGGCCCTACCTGTGACCCTACAATATATACCCGCGCCCACTTCCTCCCCACCACGCACTTCTCCCTTCCTCGCCCCCCCCCCCACCCTCATGCCCCTCCCCCTCTTCCTCCTCCCCTCATATACACCTCTTGCGCCAGACACCCGGGCTGGAGGGATGTGAGAGGGTGAGGTAGGGTGTCGGAGGGAGAGGGGCGTGACCTATATGGAGAGCCACCGGCAAAATACCATGCAGGGAGTTTAGGGGTGGAGAGGGAAGGGAGAGGAGACATGAGGAGGAGATGGTGGAGAGGGAAGGGAGAGGGGGCATGAAGAGATGGTGAGGGGTGGAGAGGGAAGGGAGAGGAGGCATGATGAGGTCAGGAGTTGGTGAAACAGTAGAGAGAGGTCATCGCAACACACCGGACGTCGTGCAGGGAACACAACACATCGGTGGAGGGTTATACAAGAACTGACAACACAAACTGCTGAACGACGGACCTGGAGACCATAACTCGCAGACCTCTGTTCCTTCTTTAATTATCAAGAGGTTTTGTAACGTCATGGGTGCGGGGATAATGTCATTGAGAGTCCAAGAGCGTGTTAATATTATCAGGGTGAACTTGTTGTAGAAAAGGGAAGGAGTGGTGAGGGCTGGGGTGGAGTGGTGAGGGCTGGGGTGGAGTGGTGAGGGCTGGGGAGGAGTGGTGAGGGCTGGGGTGGAGTGGTGAGGGCTGGGGTGGAGTGGTGAGGGCTGGGGAGGAGTGGTAAGGGCCGGGGAGGTGTGGTGAAGATCACGTTATCAAGTTTACCACGACACCCCTCCCCCCCCCTCTTAAACACACCACCTACCTTCTTCCTCTCTCTCCTCACCTTCCTCCTCCTCCTCCATGTTTTCCTCATCATTTTCCTACTCCTTGACAGTATCAGAGGTGTCAGTCATACACCAACACAGCCTCACACCTCTGCTTGGGTTGGCTGGTTGAGGGGTGTTCTCCAGAGTGCTCCAGTTCTAACACTAGACCCTTGAAGATGACGATTAAGATCCAGACACACAGACATATCACTTTCCTCCACTCTACAAAACTGCACGAAAGATAAATAAATAAATCGTCTTAAAGAAAATCCGCATAATTCTCCATAAGTAAACATCTATAGCATTTATATAAACAGTTTACATATGTGAATAACGATATATAGAAATAGGTTAAATCTAGAAACAGTTTTAAAGTTAAATGTGGGATTATAGATGTTTTTTCGCAGTGTCCCTCACAAGACGAGTGAGAGTCTGATCAAAGTTATCTTCCCATACTATGTGTTGTTATTGTTTTCTTTAATGTGTGTGTGAGAATCTATAGGTTATGTTATAGGTTGTGTTATAGATTGTGTTATAGACTTTGTTTGGACTAAAGGAACGTTATGCAAGTTGATTTCGTCCTATCAGTCGCTGTAGGTAACAACATCTTGGCTTCCGTTCCCTTCATATCTGACCAACTGAGAGAAGATGACGTTCAACACCGGTATGCTTTATGATACCTCCTATACTCAGGTGTGACGTTACGTTATACAGAAGGTTTAGGTTATTCACAGTCAGCTCCGGGAGAGATCAAACGCGTCTTGTCCAACCTATTCCCCGAGACATCCTCCCCCTCGCCCCCCCTTGCCAGAGATTGAAGACATTTGAAACAGAATGATGTGAATTGGCGGAGGTTAAGTAACGTATAGGACAAAACTCTCCAGAGAAGGATGTTCTACAGATATAAACTGTTCACTATGTTATGGTATGTGTATGTTTAAAGAGGAACACCTGAACTAATTAAGTACAGGTGTGGAGGATGTGTACACTGCCGGTGCCAACTAGCACAAGTCTTTTACCGCCAGCCTCACCTGCCAACTTTGTCGTCCAGGGAAAGAGCCAAAGTATACATAAACTGGCGAACAAAAAATGAAACTCTTAGGCAGTTAAGAATAGAAGCGGTGAGTATAGTGTGTGTCTGGAGACGACCCCGATAGAACACTGGAACCTGGTGTGATGAGTTCTGTCTACTTAGGATGAGACAGACTTTTAGAAAACATAACAGACTGACGTTGGAATCAACTTACAATATAATGTCGATGAACCTTTTACTGACATAACTTAAGGCTCTCCATCACGTTCTCTCCTATCTGGTCCTCCTTGGAAGCTAAACTCTTCTCTCTCCAAGTCCTCCGTAACTAACACTTTGGTCATACACCGAGTTAATAACGGAGTAAATATTACATTAACTTTACGGGCCATGAGAATGCTATAACAAGAATGTCCAAAATCGTCTCATAGCTGCGTTAGTGCGGGCTGCCTGGCGGAGTAGAACGTCACGCAGTTCCTGTAATAAACATATACTCTTATGACGGAATCCGTCGCGAGTGTTAAAAAGGTTCAGTGAATATCTTAATGTTTTCTTTTTTAAGGTTACTAATGGCGGAGGCTCTACACTACTGTCCAGCTTTATAAAGATTCTTATGATGAATATTCTTCGTAAGTGAAGATTTGAATATGCATATAACTGACTTAAGATAAAACACACACACACACACACACACACACAAAAAAAACCGCATAAAACAACAGCACCAAAATTATACTGAGACTCTTAACTCAATACCTTCACTTCCCACCAAACTTAAGGTACTATTGCGAGGTTTCATTCCGGGAGTTTTAATATGATGTAAACAAACACAGTGGTGCCACATCTCACAAAACGCGCCTGCCGCTGTACCAGATGTAAGTGCAAGCGACGGTACCTTAAATTTGTCCCCCCTGGTCTGGCTGTGGGTTTTCCTTAGTGTTGGCACCAATGAACTCCACGACGGGGTAAACATGTCGTAATTCAGCTCTTAAATCAGTACCATCAGCTACACTAAATCATCTCACCAAAATTGAGAGGAAAATCATTGCTCGATTCTCAAAACGATAACAAACTCTGCCTGCCTGTGAGTCTTTATATCAGTGAACAGTAATTAATTATTATCACTAGTTAGTTATGGACAGTGAGAGTGAGTTAAAATTAGTAAAAAACACGTAAATCTCCAGTAAAAAACACGTAAATCCTCTGTAAAACGTAAATCTGTAGTAAAAAGACACAACTTAACGTAAATTTAGTGTAAAAACAAATAAATGTACAGTAGTGTTCGTGTTTATACCTGTGATCGGGAAGTAATCATTACCAGGAGGTGGCGAGAGTCAGGGCTAATCAAACCCAAAATAAAAACACCCTTTAAAGGCTGGCTGACGTCAGTAATGAGTAAAGGTGTGTGCGTGGCGCGGCTGGGTATCTCACTCGATTTTTGCTCCGTGTGTGTGTAGACTCGCCTCTACCTGGGGTGTGAGGTGAGGTGGAAGAGTCAGCCCACCTGCCCCTCGGTGATTAAGTGGCGACAGGGTGCAGTAAAGCATAAGTTTTGTACCTGCGTGAGCCAGTTTCTGTAATACTGAGTGAGTTTGTGGGGATGTTAGGCGGTAGAGATCGTGGAAAGATTTCTGGGTATTAATTAATTTGTATACACACACACACACACACACACACACACACAGTCACGCGCGTGTGGTACTCCCCGTAGGCTTGTCAAACACCTGTGTCTCGCCTTATAATTCAACAACACACAGGTAAGTGTATTTTGCCCTTCTTCATTAGTCCTGTCAACCAGGTAGATGATGTGATGATGATAGCCTACAACGCTCAACCCTCCCCCATGCCCTCGCCCCCCTCCCCCTCGCCCCCTCTCCCACGCCCTCGCCTCCATCCCCTCCCCCTCCCCGCCCTTGCTCCCTCGCCCTCCCCCCTCCCCCGCGCCCCTTCCCCCCGCCCCTCCCCACGCCTCCTCCCCCCACGCCCTCGCCTCCTCCCCCACGCCCTCGCCCCTCCTCTACGTCCTCGCCCCCTCCTCTACGCCCTTAGCCCCCCTCTAGGCCCCCACACCCTCACTCCCTTCTTCACGCCCTCGCCCCCCCTCCTGCACTCAATCAGTCCCTCCTTCACGCCCCGGTTCTCTCCCCACAACCTCTCTGTCTCCTCCACACCTCACTTCCTCGCCCACACTTTCTCCCCTTCGTTGTTACCTCCTCCAGCACCCCTTCACTCTCCCACACTCGAGGGGAGGATGAGGGCGGTGGTTGTGGTTAAAATCTCCCAGGTAGAGTTCACTATGATGTACAGCACCTCCGCCTCCCGGGTACCAGTTGACGCCTCGACCATGTCAACTCACTCGAGGAAGTCATCACTCTTCCTTACTGGCAACGTTCATGTCCCGAGAAACGTTTTTTTTTATCTACGGACAATTTCGTCTGTTTCTTTTACTTCATTATTCATATTTCTTCTTCCTCGCATCTTTCACGAATTGAAATACATTCTTGTTTTTTAGTCATTTGGTGAAGATTACTTGCATTTCTCACCAGTTCTTGAGACATGAATCCTATTAGACGTCAGTCAGGGGCGTCATTTCAGATTTTGCTGGGGGCGGCAACACCATTACATGCAAAGAGTGGGGGTCAAAATCCTGCTCCACCGTGGTGACGCTGGGTGGTGCTGTAACAGACGGAACACGTTTTATATTTTCAATTTACATCTGCCCGGTGTGGACCGTGTGGCTGCTAGCAATATGACTTACTTCCTTGCTGTTATTCAGTTTATAAATGATAAGCAATGGGAATAATGAAAATAGATGAATACTTATCATTTTGTTTAATTATGCAAAGCAAAAATACCACCCACTGACGCTCCTGAACCAATTATTCGATAACTTCTTTTGGTCATCGCGACTCCTGAAGGCCTGTGTTCGTCTGCCGTATGTTAACTGCCGAAGGATAGCTCTTCTACGACAAATTCTGAGGTACTCAAAAGGGTAGTTACATATTAAACTAACTCCTGGATATATTATGTTTGTGTGGTCTGTTGTGGTAACTATCGTCGAGGTTGGTGGCTGAGTGATGATACTGTGATACTCTTGGTCAGAATTTTTACAAGTCCGCCTGTCAGTTTTCTTCCTTAATCACAGACTTGAGAATATTATCCAACAGATGATTTTATGCAACGACGCCCAAGTTTGC